CCTCTACAAGGTCTTTACCAACTGTATGTTGTGTTACTGATGTCTTAGGTAGAGAAATCATTAACCCAGCAATAGCTGAGGTGACAGGAAGGCTGTAGAGTTAGTGTAAAAAGCATGGACTTTAATTGGCTTGGCACAGTGGCTCACACCTGTAACATCTAGGACCCTGTCTAGACCCTGACTCCTATCCCAGCACTTTCGGAGGCCGAGGCAGGCAGATTGCTTGAGCTCAGGAGTTGAGACCAGCCTGGGCAACATGGCAAAACCCTTGTCCTACAAAAAATACAAAAAAAATTAGCCGGCCATGGTGGTGGGCCACCTGCCAGTCCCAGCTACTTGGGAGGCTAAGGCAGGAGTATCACTTGAGCCTGGGAGCCAGAGGTTGCAGTGAGCCAAGACTGCACCACTGCAATCCAGCCTGGAGACAGAACAAGGAACCCTGTCTCAATTTTTTTTTTTTTTTTTTTTTGAGAGGTCTCACTCTTGTCGCCCAGGCTGGAGCGGGCCAGGATGGTCTCGATCTCCTGACCTCGTGATCCGCCCGTCTCAGCCTCCCAAAGTGCTGGGATTACAGGCTTGAGCCACCGCGCCCGGCTACCAATTTTTTTTCTTTCTTTCTTTTTTTTTTTTTGAGATGGAGTCTCACTCCGTCACACAGGCTAGAGTGCAGTAGCATGATCTCGACTCACTGCAACCTCTGCCTCCCAGGTTCAAGCGATTCTCCTCCTCAGCCTCCTGAGTAGAGTAGCTGGGATTACAGGCATGCGCCACCACCCCTGGCTAATTTTTGTATTTTTAGTAGAGATGGGGTTTTACCATGTTGGCCAGGCTGGTCTTGAACTCCTGACCTCAAATGATCCACCTACCTTGGCCTCCCAAAGTGCTGGGATTATAGGCATGAGCCACGTAGCCCAGTTTTTTTTTTTTTTTCCCACTTCTAGTCCTTGTTTTTTCCCTTCTATAGAACAGGAAGCACCCAGGCAGGAGGATTGCATAAGTCGAGTTCAAGACAAGCCTGGGCAACATAGTGAGACCCTGTCTCTGCAAAAAATAAAAAAATTAGCCAGGTGTGGTGGTACATACCTGTAGTCTCAGCTACTCAGGATGCTGAGGTAGGAAGATTGCTTGAGCCCAGGAGGTTGAGGCTGCAGTGAGCTGTGATCATGCTGCTGCACTCCAGACTAGGCGACATAGCAAGACCCTGTCTCAAAAAACCAAAAAAAAAAAAAAAAAAAAACCAGGAAGCTTCTGCCATTTACCCTCTCCTCCCTTTTCACTTCCCCACTAGCCCTCTGTTAACCATGTAGATGGGTAATAGAAGAGAGGTAAGTTACTTTTCCTGAAAACATCCAGGGCTCTGAACTTCATTCCCCCAGCAGCTCCCAAGTGAACCCAGTACAGACAGCCATCCAGACCAGAACAGCAGGCACTCTCAGCCCTGCAAACTCAGCAGGGTGAATGGCTCAGATTTCCTCAGGAAGGGGATGATTTATTTCTTATCCAGGTGAATGAATAGACTTCATTTCGGGTAATCTAGTGAAAGCCTCAAACTGACGGATGTGACAGGCCACATGCACCAACCACCGGATCTGAGGCTAGTGTATGCAGACCCTGCCCCCTCTTTGGGCTTCTTTTCAGGGCCTGAGCAGAGCTGGTAAGGGATAGGGAGAAGAGGGAACAGAGAATGTCTCAGGAGGTTTGTTAGAGCTTGAGTGCAAATAAGGTTTGCATTCAACCCCTCCCACCTCCGACCACCTCCTGATTGAGTCTTAGCTCTGTTTATATTTTTTTCCACCCACTGATGTCAGTGTTTATGAGCAATGTTATGAGCAGCAGCATGGCAGGTAGGAAAGAAACAATAGCTGTGGATAATCAACCCCTGAATAGTCAGAAATTGACTGTATTATTTGAATCTCTTTCCATACATTCCTTATTCACCAACCAAGAGTAGAAAGGGGTTTTGAGTGAACTAGCTAAAAAGTTCTTCACCTTATTTACTTCTTTGTGTGGTTGGTGGAGATGTTTATTGGTCTAGTTTAGGTTCCTCAATTCAGACAAGGTCCTAGGATTTCTTTCACACACAATTTGGTTTTTTTCTTCTCTTCTCTTGGGGACTCAGGAAAAATGTAGAAAAGCGAGCACTGCTGGAGAACATGGAGGGGCTGTTCTTGGCTGTGGATGAAATTGTAGATGGAGGGTAAGTTCTCTGACCTGCCTTAATCTTGGGTGAGGTAGTGGGATAACTGCCCCTGTCCTAAGTCAAGCAGGCTCAGCGGCCAGAGGTCCTGTTCCCCCACAGTGAGTTGGGCATTCGGGACAGAGTGAACAGTGATCTCTTCTTTGTTTTTGCAGGGTGATCCTCGAGAGTGATCCCCAGCAGGTGGTACACCGGGTGGCATTAAGGGTAAGCAGGAATGTGTTTCTCTGCATCCCCGCATCTATTCACAAACACCCTCCACAGCCAGACCTGCTGGATGTGTCTAGTAGTTGGGGCTCATAGGATACATAGAACCTTCTCTTTTTCTTTCAAATACATTCAGCCTTTCTCTTTCCTTCCCTTCTTATTGTCCCAAAGAAAGAAGAAGAAAGAACTTATTTCTACCCCTAATAAGGTACCTAACATCTCATACAGTCTTTGCACAAAGTGGACATTTAATACATATTTATTTAATAAGTGATAAAATAAACTAATATTTATGGTTTTGAAATTATAAAGGAACTTGAAGTTGGCTTATTCCCTTCTTGGAGATGGATCCAATCATCTGAGACAGAAGAGTGTCTTTTTTGTCTTTTAAAATGTTATATAGGACTGGGTGTGGTGGCTCACACCTGTAATCCCAGCACTTTGGGAAGTGGAGGCCGGTAGATCACAAGGTGAGGAGATCGAGATCAGCCTGACCAACGTGGTGAAACCCTGTCTCTACTAAAAATACAAAAATTAGCTGGGCGTGGTGGTGCATGCCTGTAATCCCAGCTACTCGGGAGGCTGAGGCAGGAGAATTGCTTGAGCCTGGGAGGTGGAGGTTGCAGTGAGCCAAGATTGCACCACTGCACTGCAGCCTGGGTGACAGAGTGAGACTCTGTCTCAAAAATAAATAAATAAATAAATAAATAAAGTGTTACATAACTGAGGATGGTGCCTCTCCATCAGGAAGTACGTATTTGCCAGAATCTCAGAACCTCAGTCCTCTTTGGTGCTAGTGATATCAGCGAGGGGCCTCTGAGTTAACCATAGAAGGCCCCAGGTCAGCTGAGGAGATAATGGTGGATGCAGAGAGCCCACAAGCAAATTATACGGGTGCAGAGATGTCTGAGCAAAGCAAATTCTCCCCATTCACAGAATGTCCTGGCTCTGACCTCCACAGAGTGAAGGCTGACAGTGCTTGGTAATGGGAAATCTTCTCCCTTAACTGCTGTGGGCTCCATTTGCATAGTTTAATCTTCTCCTCTAACATATGTCTCTATGTGGCAAGAGAGAGGGTCCCCCCACCAACTCCCCCCTTTCTCTTCTCAGGCTGCTGTTGCAGCAGTTTATTTCTTCAAATTAACATGCTGTCGTTACCCATCAGACTTTGCGGGATCCATTAAACCACTCCTGGCTCCCCCTCATCCTTTCCCTAGCAATACTGATACTCAGAGAAGGCCTTTTCTGACTAGAGAATCAGGTCCTCCACCCCCAAGTTAAGGGAGTTGAGGATCAGATAACCTGCTGGTTACTCGGAATGGAGTTAAATCTTTTAAGAAGTCCTCCTGCCTTAAAATGGAAGCTGGATGAAATGACCCTTTTTTGTTCATAGTCCCTCTGGCCAAGTAAAACTGTAGCTGTCCTAGTCCCTAGAAGGGACTGAGAAGTTCAGTGCATCTGCCCTTTGTTTCAGTTTAAAGGATTACTTTTTTCTTCTCTAATACCAGACTCCAATCAGGTCTTACTCCAGCTTTCTCCCACACTAAATGCTTGTATCTCTGTGCCATAGGGTGAAGATGTCCCCCTTACGGAGCAGACCGTGTCTCAGGTATGACTTTCTCCCTTCTTCCTTTCCAGATGGACTGGGTCACTAAAGAGGCTAGAACAGCATTCCACCCATACCTCCCAAGTCTGAGTGAGACTGGAGACTCAAGACACATCTTTCTTGGCTCCCTCTTATTCCGGAGAACTGGGACTTACACAGCCAGCTACTCCCTACCCCTACTTCCAACTCCTTTCTTAGTTTCCTGTGAACAGTGGCTGTCAACCTTGCTCTGTACCCTTCAAACCTTCCCTGCCTGATGCCTCATTCAGTGATTTATTCCCCAGCAGAGGCTTGCCTTAAGCAGATGGTCTGTGTGCATTTGTGCACACACTCTCTCTTTCTCTTATTATTCAAATGAGGGCTAAGCTGGAAATGCATATTCTAGAATATGCAGGTTTTGCAGATCCATCTTGCTACCTTGACTGCAGATAGATTGTCTACCTGATGTAGCGGGAAGGGAGGGGTTCTGTTTTCTACCCACTTGGCATTCTCACCAAGAAGTCCATCTGGATTTGTTACCCGTCTCTCACCCACCGCCCCTTTTAATATGTGTCCAGTAACTCCCAGTTTTTTTTTTTTTTTTTCTTTTGTACCTCTTCTTTCTTCATCCCCCTCGGTGGATTTGTATTTTTTTGAAATTTTCCAAACAATCTGCTAGGGCCTTAGAGAGCTTCTTCCCATCTCTTTACCTTTGGGGATTTTCTATTCTCCATTCTTGTAAGGACAGGGAAGACAAGTGAGGGGAAGGAGATCCCCAGCCCTCATGCTTACCCTGCCCTGTCAGCAAGCTTTCCTCAACGCTGCTCTTATCTCTGCAGGTGCTGCAGTCAGCCAAAGAACAGATCAAGTGGTCACTCCTTCGGTGAAGACCCCACTGTTCCTGGCTCTTCATCCTCTTCAAAAAATTCGCATGTCTGCTGTGAATTTTCATCTAGTTCCCCAATCGATGCTCTCAGGGTCATCTCGGGGATCACAGGGATCCTTAAATCTCCATTCTGTTTGTGGTTGTCCCCCCCAACCTCCCCTACACCCTCCCTATTATTTTTCATTCTTCTTGCAGTTCTGGGAGTAAAGCTCCCAGCATATTCAGATAATAGGGCAGGGGAAGCACCCTCTTTCTTTCTCGACTGGATTATGCTCACATGCTCCCCTGCCCTGACATTTTTGTAAATTCTGTGCCCTTTGTTGTAGCTACACTTCAGATTAAAGTAGGAGAAAGAATGTGCTGAATGTTTTCCTGCCTTTGCCTTTACCTGGACCTCATCCTGACACCCCAGCAAGGGGAGGGAGAAAGAGAATTCTTTACTATAGAACGAGTGGGGGTGGGCATGGGTAGGGATTTATCCAATCTAAGCCCTAGCCCCACTTACTGACCTCAGTGTTTTCTTCCATTCCTTCTTACTGCCCTGTCCTCTGCCTTGGAAAAGGTATTGGGAATAGTTCATAGGGAAGGGACAACATGGAAGAAACAGTGATTTAAATTGTATTGAATAGGGCACATAAAATGCATTCTCTACCCCGATCTGGCATATAGCTTCAAAACTGCCGTGGTGAGTGCCCGTCTCTTAATTAGCTACCTTAACTCTCCACCCTTACTACCTGTGGGATCTTTGCCTGGTTTGTCTTCTCTGTGTCCTGAAGCAAAGCCAGTTCCTAAAACTAAAACTCCATTCTAGTCTTGGGAAGAAAACTTTCTACTCAGAACTGGGGAAGGAGTAGAACTTATGACTTGGGCGTCTAGGCTGTCTCTGTTCCCTCAACTCCCCGACATGCATTTACTCCTCTGCGACATGCATTTACTCCTCTGCCTTGGGTCTACATTCGCTGCAGCCCACCCTCTCTCTGCTTCAGCCTTACACCCAAGCAGTGCGTCTGTGCTCTCCCTGTCTCTAGGTCGCTGAGAGAGGTGCTTTTCTTCATAAAACCTTTGGGATTTGGATTTCCCCAGGAAGATGGAGAATGGAATACTCACTCTTGGGTCTAATCTTTCCCCTTGACCCAGAACTTCCTCCCCACAAAAATGTCTTTAAAAACCTTCCTGAGACTTAAGCATTCTGCCCCACTTACTAACTGCCAGTTCTCCAACACTGAAGTGGGGCAGATAACTGGGTATATTTGAGGGGGCATCTTTGTGTAAAAGATGCATGGAGTCAGGAGATAGCCACCTTCATAAACTGCTCTGTGCAAAGAGGAATAAAACATTTTTTCAAAACTGCCTTTGTGTGATGTTTCTGTTTCTCTTCCTCTCTTTTTGGCAGCTACTCCTGTTCTTCCAGCACCCCCTCATTCCCCATCTTACAATATTTCTTCCCTCGTACCTCAGAGACTCTATAGCAGTGCCCCCCCATCCCTAATTTACGGGGCTGTTTGCCTCCTTGGCATCTCTCCGTCCCCTCGCCTGGAAATTGGCGCCAGGGGTGGGGTGGGGATGGTATTTTCTCAGTGGGAGTCCCAGGGAACTGAGTTCTTCCCCCACCACCCCCAAAGCCAGCTGCCTGCTCCCGCCTCAGCCATTAGTAACCCAGAGACGCGCACCTGCGTGGGGGCTCTCCTCCAGCCCTTGCTCCCTTCCTGCACCTCCCACTCCTGCTCTGAAACGGCGCTGAGCGGGTTATTTATCGGAGCCAGCGCTGCTCCAGAAGGTCAGGACGGTGGTGTAAATAACCTCTTCTCGCCATTTCCCCGTCCCTCCAGAGCCTGCTCCCCTCCCCCTCCTCCACCTTTATTCGCACAAATGAATGTGGCTGGGCTGGCGCAGCGCCTGGCCCTGCATCTTAATGGGGCGGTGAGCTCACAAGATGGATTTAGCTGGGGGTTTTATGGTTGCCGCGGCGACAGAATGCTTTGGTTTTCTTTCCCCCTTCCTCTGCAGGATTTTTAAGGAAGAGGGAGTGTGGGGAGACTCTTCTCCACTGCAGTTTGAAGGGTTTCCTCAGTCACCTCTGCCGCTCATAAAATGGACCTGCAATTCCAGGATTAAGCAAGGGAGACCAAATTAGTATCTCAGATGGGAAAGGATGAGGGAAGGAAGGTAACAGGAATGGGGGAGTCTCTCCAGCATCAGAACATGAAACCCAGAGTTTTCCAGTCTTGCCTGCTCTTCTATGAAAACCTGACAATTAAGCTCAACAACTATGGGGCACCTGTGCATGGGATACTCCTCAGCAGGTAGAAAAGAAAAAAACCTGGGTGTACCACGTCTGCCTACAGTCCTGCATTGAAAGTTGGAATGCAAGAGTTTGGATAAAGACTAGGTACTTCTTTTGTCTTTGCCTGTGTGAGCTGGGGAAAAGCAATACTCAGCCTTACCATCCTAATCTTCCTACTCACCACACAGCATTGACCTGGGGGAGGGGCAGTGTCAGTACCAGAGCTGAGTGGTGGTGATGTGTGATGGTGTGGAGCATGGAGTTCCATCCTGTTCTCAAACTTGGAATTCTCTGAGCTTCAGTTTCCCCAGCTTAGCCTGGGTTAAACTCCTGCCTTCTGTTTTCCAGCATGAATGGAACTTTGGTGCCCTGGCCTGCGCAGTTTTTTGGCCAGCAGGTTTTTTTTCAGGGCTATGAGTAAACACATCCCCAAGCACTGACTGAAGCAGAGCCTGGGAGCGGGGTCTGATTATTTCTCTTCCTTGGTTTCTTTCTGTCTGTAAGCCTCTGTCTTTCTGTTTGTGAGCCTTTCCCTCTTTCCCAGGGGATGCTGGGAGGCCCCTCCTCCCCTCTCCCCCCTTCCTCCCCTTTGGCTGGGAAAGTGACTACAGCCTGAACAGTGCCAGACACCTGCCTGCCAGATGTGGCGATTCCCCATTCTTCCCCCCACCCCTCTATGTCTATTCTTTCCCTACCCCACTGAGCTCAGGCAGAGGGAGCACCCCCACAGGGTGATTTACTGCTGCTGCCTCTCTTCCTCAAGTGCCCCCCTCCACTCCTCTCCCTCTCCCTCCCCCTGATGCCCATGCCCCCTCTTTTCCCACAATGTTCTGCAGCTACCTTCTTGTTACAGCCTCCTCCCACTCCTACTCCAGAGTGCTAGGCTATGTAAACTCCAGCTCCTGGACTAGAGAGTGAATGCATGGGGCAAAGGTGATTAGCCTTCTGTTTCACCCATGGGAGAGTACATCAGCAACTGGGCTGAGGACGGGCAGCCAGAGCTGATGTCATTCTCACTGGGGGAGGAAGGGAGGTGACAGAGTGGAGGAGGTGAATAGGGAGGGAACCAACACTCCAAGACTGTCTGGAGAGGAGAAAAAGGTCTCTGAGAACTTCCTTGGTAGGTGACAGAGAGTCCAGAATTGTGGCTGCCTGGTGGACATCACACCTTTCTGGCTGAGCCTCCAGACCTTGTCTTTGAACCTATATCGCAATATGACTTAGGAGATGCCCCTCAGCTCCTCCCCTTCACACTGACCCAAAACACACACTTAGAGAGAACTGCAAGTCCGCACCCTTCTCTTTTTAGTGTTTGTCCTTCTGTGTCTTTTCTTTTTTCTTTTTTTTTTTCTGTCTTTTTTTTTTTTTTTTTTTGAGACAGGGTCTCCCTCTTCACCAGGCGGATGCAGTGGCTGATCAGCGGTCAGCTGCAGTTCGAGCCTCCCTGGCTCACGTGTTCCCCCCCTCAGCGTTCTGATAACTGGACTAAGGGTGTTGTTGCCCCTGCCTGTAATTTTTTGTTTTTTATAGAGGATGTTTGCCATATTGCGGTAGTCTTGAACTCTGGGCTCAGTAATCCGACTGGCCTTGCCTCCCCAAATGGTGGATTGAATAGGCATGGCCATGCACCCAAGCTAGTGTTCCTTTTTTTTTTTTTTTTTCCTTAGATGGATTTCTGTTTCTGTCACCCAGGCTGGAGTGTAGTGGTGCATTCGCTCACTGCACCTCGCCTCCCGGGTTTCAGCATTCTCCTGCCTCATGGACCCAAGTAGTTGGGTACGCAGCTTGCGCACCATCGCCTAGCTTTTTTTTTTTTTGTTTTTTAGTAGAGACAGCATTTCACCATGTTGGCCAGGCTGGTCTCCAACTTCTGACCTCTAGAGATCTGCCCGCCTCGGCCTCCCAGAGTGCTGAGATTACAGGTGTGAGCCACCGTGCCTGGCCTATGCCTTTTCTTTATTAATCTCTTCTCTCTCATTTCACCCTACCTCCCTTAGTTGTGCTTCTCTTTCTGGTCACCTTCTGCCCACCCCACCCTTCCGTGCCATATCATAACCCAATATGATTCCCAGACCTCCCACTAAAGCAAGGACTCATTCAGAGCCTCTTTTCTCCTTCCCATCTATTCTTGGAATCTAACTCCCAAAGGTCCCCTCTGGGCCAGAACAGGGTTCTGATGTGGGACTGAGGTAGGAGGACTGAGGTAGGATGGCTGGGCTGAAGAGTGGCAGAAGCAGGACAGATGGAGCAGCATCCAGGAATTTGGGGAGAGGGGAGAGGGAGACAAGAAGATGTAAAGAAACAATATGAGAGAGAAAAAGTGATTGAGAGACCGAGGCAGAGGCTGAGAGACGGCGAGAATAACAAACTGGGAGAATGAGAGACACAAAGAAGGAAAGCAAGACTGGGAGCAGAGAAAAAGAATAGAGTTGGAAACAGGAAAGTCATAGCAAGAGAAGGCCACTAGAGAGGGGCCAGGCAAGGGGCAGCCTGGCTCTCCAGGGCTCCCTCATGCCGTGAGTCCTGTGTGTGTGAGTGTGTGTGTGTGTGGGTGGGTGCGTGCATGGCACATTTGCATAGGGATCTGCGGTATGGATAGGAGGATTTCCACAATATTTTTCCATTTCTTTCAGCAATCTCTTTCCTTGAGGCACTCCACACTAGCCCCCCATCTCCCAGTATTCCGGATGCTCAAGGGACCATTCTGAAGGTATTTCCACAACTCAGCAATCCTGGCTTTCTCACTTGGAATGCAGGCCTGCTGGAATGTCCAGGATCTGTAGAATGAAGAGGCCCCATCCCCTCACTGCCCACCCCCCATGCCTGCCCACCAGCTGCTCCTGTCCATCTTCTCCTCCCATTCTCCTTGTATCTCCCCTTCCTCCACACTGACCCCTCCCCCAGCTCTGACCCCCAGCCTGCCTGGGGCCTGGGTCAGAAGGGAGACAAAGACAGGATTTATCACCAGTATTGAGAAGCAGCCAGAGACCAGGGCTGAGGGCAATGACTGACCTCCCTCGGATAGGAGGGAGCACTAGGCCGGATGCTGGGAGGCTGGAAGCCTGGGTTCCAGTGGCTGCTGCTCACAACCCCCAACTTTTCCCACTCCAGCTTTCCTCTCCCGCTTGTCTCTGAAAACTTAGAAAACAGAGAAGAGTATGATCCTGAGGTGATTTTAGGCCTCTGAAGGAAAACCTGGGAGAAAGGAAGAGATGAGATTGATGTCTTAGGGTTATTATCTTATGGATATGGAAGAGGATTTGGAAACTAGAGGCAATCAGGCACCAACTGTTTCCAGGGCTGGGAAAGAGTTCAGGCCTAATACTGCAACAGATGAGAGGGACTGTCCTCTAATATAGAGAGGGACTTCTCAAGAACAGGCCCTGGTTGCCAGTAGGAAAGGAAATAAGGGTGATTATGGGTCCTGAAAGGTGGGAGACACAGTCTCACCTGAAAGTGAAGAAATAAATGAAATTTACCAACGGCTAATTCTAGCTCTAGACCCTCTGAAAAAGTCTTCTTCCCTAACATCCCCGACTCCCTCCCGAGAGGTACAAGGAGCAGCTGGTCCTTTACAGTAAATAGACTATTGGCCTGAAATTGTCTCTACTCAGCAGACAGGGTGTGTGCTTGAGAGGGAACGGTATGATCCAGGAGTTTCCGAGAAACCAGACTGTATATCTTTCAGTGGACAGCTCCCGCAGCTTCCCTAGCTGCCCTTGGAAGCCCACCACCAGCCCCTCTAGAATCTCAGTGTGTCAGAAGCCTCCACAAACCCAGCTCAGAAACTTTGGTGCTCTTCCAGTCCCTGGCACCCAACTTCCTGCTTCTTGCCTTTACCCTATTGTCCCGGAAGACGGCAGCTAGAGTTACCTCCAAGTGAGAAGAGGGTGGAAGGATGAGAAACTGAGGGAACTGGGAGTTACCAATCTACCAGTTTCTCACCACAATCCCACCAAGCATTCCCACCCGGGTCTGGTGAGGGAAAACTTGTGATCTCCTCTCTTAAACTCCTCTGTAAGCTGAAACCATTCTGTCAATTTCTGATGCAAAGCCAAAAATTGGA